TAAATTTTGTTGACCTTTTTGAAGAGCCAAGTTTTGATTTTGTTAACTTTCTCTATTATTTTTATATTCTATATTTCATTTATCTCCCTTCTGATCTCTATTATTTCCTTCCTTCTGCTAGCTTTGGGTTAGTTTTTCCTTTCTTTTTCTAGTTTCTTAAATTATGAAGTTCAGTGTTGATTTGGGATCTTTCTTCTTTTTAATGTAAGTATTTAAATCTATCAATTTCCCTCTTACTCCTGCTTTCTCTGTTTTCCATAGTTTTGACATGTAGTGTTTTTTTTTTTTTTATTCACCTCTAAGTATTTTCTAACCATCCTTGTGATTTCTTCCTCGATCTATTGTTTAATAGTGTATTGTTTAACTTCCACAATTTTGAGAATTTTCTAGTTCTCCTTCTCTTACTAATTTCTAACTTTATCCCATTGTGGCTGGAGAAGATACTCTGTATGATACCTACCATTTAAAATCTATTGAGACTTAAACTGTGTCCTAATATATGGTCTATCCTAGAAAATATTCATGTGCACTTGACAAGAATGTGTATTTTGTTGTTGGATGGAGTGTTCTGTATACGTCTCTTAAATCTATGGTTTATTGTGTTGTTCAAGTCCTCTATTTCTTCACTTATCTTCTGTCTGGTTGTTCTATTCATCATTGGAGTGCAGTATTGATGTCTCCAACATTATTATAGAACTGTCAATTTCTCCCTTCAATTTTATCAATGCGTGCTTTATATATTTTTTATGGTCTGTTATCAGATGTGTAAATGTTTATTATTGTTATATCTTCCCACTGTACTGAGCAATCTATTAATGTACAATGTTTTTCTTTGTTTCTTGTAGCATTTTTAAAATTTAAAATTCATTTTGTTTGATATTAGTATAGTCACTCATTCTCTTTTGGTTACTATTTGCATGAAATATCCTTTTCTATCTTCACTTTCAATCTATTTGTATCTTTGGATCTAAAGTGAGTCTCTTGTAGACAGCATATAGTTGGGCTGTTTTTGTATCCATTCTGCCAATCTTTGTCTTTTTAATGGTGAGCTTAGTCTAATTTACATTTAGTGTAATTACTGACAAAGAGCAACTTACTTCTGTAATTTGCTATTTATTTTCTACATACCTTACAGCTTTTTTGTCCTCCATTCCCTGCATTACTGTCTTCTTTTGTCTTAGTTGATTTTTTTGTAGTGAAAGGTTTAACTTTCTTCCTTCGTGTGTGTGCACATATATATTATTTAGCTATTTTCTTTTGTTTGCAATTGGGATTACATTTAATATCCTAAAGTGATGATATTCTACTTTAAATTTATATGAACTTAACTTTAATAACATACAAATACTCTGCTCCTTTAACATCTCTGCACCCCACCCCTTTAAGTTGTAAATGTCTCAAAATTACACTTTTATACACTAATAATTTTTCATGTCTCCACAATTGTATAGTAAACAAAATGTGAAATTACAAACCAGACTGACAATCATGCTAGCTTCTAGACTAATAATTGTTTTTAAAATGATTTGACCCTTAAATCATGCAGAAAACCAAAGGCGGAGTTAAATACCATCATTATAGTAATTCTAACTTTTATAATTGTAGATGTATTTACCTTTGCTGAGATTTTTTTTTTTCTTCATATGGCATGAATTTATTGTTTAGTGTCCTTGTGTATCAACCTGCAGGAAGGACTCCCTTTAGCATTTACTGCAAAGACAGGTAAAAACTCCTTCAGCTTCTGTTTATCTGAGAATGTCTTAATTTCTCCCTCACTTTTGGAGAATATTTTTTCTGGGTATAAAATTTCTAGTTGACAGCCAAAAAAACAGCACTTTAAGTATATCAGATCACTACCTTCTGGCCTTCAAAGTTTCTGATGATAAATTTGCTCATAATCTTATTGAAAATCCCTTGTATGAGACAAATCAGCTTTCCTTCACTGCTTTCAAAATTCCCTCTTTGTCTTTGACTTTTGATGGTTTGATTATAATGTGTCTCGATGTGGGTCTCTTTGAGTTCATCAGCTGTCATTGAACTTCTTGGATGTTTATATTCATGTCTTTCATCAAATTTGGGAAGTTTTCCATCATTATTTCTTCAAATATTCTCTTTTTGGTTTCTTTATTATATTTTTTATCTCTTTTTTGATATTTTCATTTAATGCATACATCATTTTCTTGACTTTCTCCATATTTTCCTTCAGTTTTTTAAGCATCTTTAAGATTTTTTAAAAAGTCTTTGTCTAGTAGATGTGCCACCAGGTCTTTGTCAGGAACAGTTTCTGTTGGTCTTTGTTTTTTTCCCTTGAGAGGGCCATACTTTTTGGTTTCTTTTTACGCCTCATAATTTTTTTGCTAAAAACTGGATATCTGAATCTAATGATATGGTAACTCTGGAAATGAGATTGTCTCCCTTCCTCAAGGATTTGCTGGATTTTGTTTGTTTGTTGTAATTGTTGTAGATTGCCAAGGATCAGCCCGAGCTGCAAACTTGGAGTCTTCTTAGGTCTTTTCTGAGCCTGCACCTTCCCCTGGGCAAGTACAATGTCTTTCCAACTTACCCCATATATGTGCTTGCTTTTGAATATCTTAGTCTTCAATGTCTGGCTCCCAAAAAGGGAAAAGGAGAAAAATGAAGGAGACACGGGAAAAGGCATATGCTCTTTAAATCCCCTGGAAGTTACCATGTGTTGCCATTTCTTTGTCTGTACCTCTGTTATCAGAGGCAGGAATCAGTGATCACAACATAGATCCCTGTTATTTGTAGGACAGGGTTCATTTTTCCCATTCTGGCTCCTGCACATTGAGCACAAGCTGCTACTGGAATGTATGCACATCTGGAAAGCCTGCCACAAGGCTGGGGTAGATGATGTGTAGCCACTATTGTGTTAAGAGCTGAAATTCACTGAAATTAAGTACAACTCACTGTCCAAGCCTCCTTCTGGAAGCTGCCAGTTTTGATTAGACACCAGGGTTCCAAAATAGATACATCAGACAGACTTGGAAAGAGTAATTGTTGTCTAGGTAGGGGGACAGATTCAGCCATCTTCACATAATTCTCTATGGGCTATGTTTTAAGGGTATAATTTCATTAAATTTAATGCATATACCAAATAGTGATTCATCAAACATAAAATAACATGTTTTATAATAAGCTGGTTTAGGGCACATTAAGAAAAGAAATAGTAAATATCTTAATGTATAATTGTAGAAACTAAAGAAAGAGAGTTGCTCTGTGTGCTCAAGAATGAAATCAAATTTTTCCTCTTTCAACTTTTTAACTCAACCATTACCCCCACTCCTCTTTCTTGGCATTTTCTTATTATATCAACTGTGAAACGAGCCTACTTAAAATCAGACCCAAGAGAGGTAGGTAGAAGTTGTACTCAGACTCAAGAAAAAGCATGCAAAAATTTCTGTTCCTTTTAATATATGAAAAGAGGTTTCAAAATACAAATAGATAAATGTAGCTAATTAATTGACTTTAACATTAAATTCAACTAATACATAGCATTTATTATGTTATACCTGGAATTGATGGATTGGTGGGGAGTGAGTTTTCAGAATGCCATTTTGAAATAACTTGCATAATTTTGAAAAAGAGAATTCAGTATGATACATTTTTTTTTTTTTTTTGGAGTGTTCTGCCATAAAAATAGCACTGGTCATTACAATCTTCCAGCACTTTTCTCTGAGTGATAAAAGATATTTTGGAAAATGTGGCTTTTATGATCTTTGGGAGGAGGCCTGGAAAAGGAGGGTTGAGAGTTCAGAGTAACACAGGAAATCTGTGTTTATAATGCTTAAGTGTGTGGGTGTGTTCCTGTGGGCAGTGCTGGAGAGAAAAAATAAAAGAAAACGCATGCAAACTATTGCAGGCAGGAGTTGAACAAAAGACTCAAAGAGTCTGTAATATTTATGAAATGTATTCAATATTTACAGAATATACTGGATTGAGGTTATCAAAAACAACTCTTGACACCAAAAGCACAATCCATAAAAGAAAAACGTGATATTTGATTTCATCAAAATTAAAACTAAGATAATGAAAAGCAAGCCCTAAGAGAGCGAAAAGCAAGCCACAGGTTGGGAGAAAATAGTTGCAGATCATGTGTCTGAAAAAGGACAAAACTCAACAATAAGAAAAAAAGAAAATTTTTTAATGAGCAAAATATTTGATCTGAGACTTTACCAAGTGAAATGATGCCAAACAGCATTAGTCATTAAGAAAATGTAAATTGAAATCACAATGAGATACTACTACAAATATATTAGAATAATTAACATAAATTTTTTAAAAACTAACAATATCAAGGATCAGTGAGAATTAGAAACAGCTGAAATTTCTATAAGTGGCCAGTAGGAACATAAAATGACACAGCCCCTTTGGGAAACAATTTGGTAGCTTCTCATAAAGTTAAATATATACCTATCATGATCCAGCAGTAGCACTGCTCAATATTTACCCAAAAGAGATAAAACATTATGCTCACACAAACTTATAAGCAAATATTTACAGCAGTTTATTCATAATGTCTAAAAATTAGAGACAATCCCAATATCTTTCAAGTGATGAATAGATACATTCATACAATAGAATACCACTGAAAAGTAAAAAGGACAAAACTATACAAGTAATAATATGGATGAATCTCAAATGCATTATGTTGAATAAAAGCAACTAGGTTTCAAAAAACACACATTGTAGTTTCATTTATATGACATTTCGAAAAAAGCAAAAGCATGGAAATAACAGATGAGTGGCTGTCCAAGGTTTGGAATGGGTGAGAGGGCTGATTAGAAATAGATGGGAGGAGGAAATTTTTTATAGTGATGGAACTCTTGATTGTGGTGGTTGTTACCTGGCTGTATGTATTTAACAAAACCCATCTAATTGCAGATCAAAATGAATACATTTTACTGGATGACAATTTAGAAACATTGTTTTCATTTGCTCACATTTGTTGCACATTTGTTACACAGAGCTGACATTCTCACCTCCTCCTGACCTTCAAATGTTTCCACAGATAAGGCAAGTTCTGAATGAAAAAAATAAAGTGATGTTTACTATTCTATAGTGACTTGTTGAGGTAAGTAACCTGAAAAAACATGGGAATGTGGGAAAGACTACATTCAAGAGCAACATCAAGCTAAATCTACCCCAGCGATCAGGGAGTAACATTTCAGAGTGGGCTGATAGCACCCCTTCATTTAGCTTGCTCTTTTCGCAGGTGCTAGGGAAAGCCATGCGATGCCAACAAGCCCACACTGCTTCAACTTCCTGTGAAGAAAGCCCTACCATGATCCCCACCCACATTATTTATTTTGGTGTCCTGAACAAATAAGAAAATGTAGCCAGTAGTGTTTTCCTTCCATAATTCAAGTAGCACTGGGTTTTGATATACAGGAAAGCAAGATGCTGGGCAAGTTGGTGTGGTTAAAGACCCTGCATAGGAGTTCTCTTGTGGAAAGTAGCAGAAAGTCCACTCATGTTCAGGAGCTCTGGGATCTAGTCTTGATTCTGCCATACAGTAACTTGCTGTGTTACTATATGAGCATTTCACATAATTTCTCTAGGTCTTTATTTTCCCATTGTCTTAGTTCATATCTTGGTTGCAAGAAACAGATACCAAGTCAAGTTGGTTTAATCTAGATACAGATAAATAGAAAGATAGATAGCCAATAGTTCTCAACTGGGCGGTGGTTTTATCACCCACTCATCCACCCCAAGTGGACATTTGGCTATGTCTGGAGGTATTTTTGGTTTTCATGTCTGGGAGGATTGATACTATCATCAGTTGGGTAAAGTCCAGGGACTATCCTACAATGCATAAGATGGCCCCCAACAATAAAGAATTATCTGGATCAAAATAGTGATGAGGTTGGGAAACCCTGATATCTATGTATGTATATATGTATGTATGTATGTATCTCTCTCTCTCTCTCTCTCTCTGTATATATACTATGTATATAATATTTATGTGTCTGTAATTTTTAAAGCATAGTATATTATTTCACAAAATCTAGGGAAATTTGGGGGGTTGGAACTCATCGCACAGGAAGAGTAGAAATCAAGGCAGATTTTGCAGGTTTTGAGTTCTCAACAGAGTTCAAAGGCCTTCCTCTTAGTACCCTCTGATTTCCAGGACTCACTTACAAATGCCTATTCTCTGTGAACCTCAGACTGAGGGGAAATGAGAAAGACACAGCTTGAGGCAGCTGTTCATTCTACTCTAGTTGGCTATGTCCAAGAGGGAGTGTTCAAGCCAAAGTTCAAGCCAGTGGCCATCCTTGGAGACTGGGTCAGGAGCCCTTAGAGAGGTGGAGTTGGGAAAACAGCCCTAAAGAGGCCCATTACATTTATCTGTAAGGTACCAATAATGCCACTGCTCCTCTGGAAACCTACTATCAAATAAAAGGCTGTGGGCCCCAGGGGAACTTGGAAACAGAAGTGGCAGGTGTCTCCTTTAAATGAAATTCATAATATTTCTCTCTTTTTTTTTCTATCTTGAAGAACAGATTTCATTTTTTACACTTCTATAGAACAAATGGAACCATGACTTATGTTCCACAATTTCCATAGCTGATTTCATGAACTTTAACAAGTTTTCTTTATTTATAGCAATCCCAAACTTTATTCCCTTAGAGACGTCAGGACGTGGAGGGTAATTTTGTTGCCTGCCCTCTACGCTTTAAAGACCAAGTGAATTCAAAGAACAGTAAATCCCTGCCCCAGCACAATAAGTGGGGTCCAAAAGGATTTTACGTGGGGTCTATAATTCAATCAACTATTCATGGTCGCGTTATTTTGAAGCTAATGAAATGGCCGCCAGGAACCTGCACTGCTTGCCAGTGGGTAGCGCCAAACGAAGCCCGCGCCAAACGAAGCCCATCCCAAACTTGGCTGAGTTTGCCGCCATCTAGTGGCCACTCCCAGCGTTAGTTTACACCTCGCAATGAACAGGATGCGGGCCTGTGGCTGGCCAGGACGAGCGTTCAGCGGGCCATTCTAGGAATTTCCCGGTTACTTGTCGCTCTTGGATTGGTCCAGACCAGGAAGACTAATTATTACAGGATTACTTAATAAGGAGCTTTTCTGTACTTGGAAACATAAAGCAATGGTTTTAATCTTTGTGAGATTACAGGCCCCTTTGAGAATCTGCCTATATGCATATAATTTTTCATACAATTTCTAGAGGGTTATGGGCTTACTAAAGCCAATCCATGGACACAAAGGGAAAGACACTGAATATAAACCTGATACATATGTTAGCTTGGTGTACTTGTAAGCCATTCTGAAGTCGTTTGGAACAGAAAGGGAAAATGGCAAGGGCAGGTGTGAGAAAAGGAGGAAATCTACTGCTAACTGGAGGATAGTAAGAGTCTTACTGTCCTCTAAAATGTGGCAAATGTCCATGGCTCTTTAGTTGTATTTATACATGCCATGTATCTCCACCTTAGCTTTCCACCCTTAAAATTGGTTCCTTTTTTACATGCCTGAGTTTTTCCTGGGGCTTCCTATTCTCCTCTGGTTTCCATCCAAAGTTGCTGGTGGACCAACAATAGGTTTGGGTTGGGAGTGAGAAGACTTCCTGGGATTAGGCTAGCACCCCCTATTGGCTGGGTGAGTTAGCAAGTCTTGCACCCTCCCTGGCTCAGCGTGAGGACGAGCATCCTTTAACCCCTCTTAGGATGGAATGAGATACTGTGTACAAGTGAAAGACACTGAAACAGTCAGAAGCAGTACACAATTTTTGGAGTCTGCAATGTCATTCCAAAAACAAGTCCTTCTAAGATAGTCCATAGGTAATTCAGGCTTAAAGCGGGTGAAATAAATGTCAGCTGGGATTGCTGGGAGAGAAAGGATGTATTGTTCTATTTTCCATGGGCCTGTTCACAAGCAGCATTAATAACTATTACTAACGCCTCCTCCCCACTACTCACATTATAAGTAAGAAGCTTTCACCTTTGGTTTCAGTAAGCCCCTAACACATCACTTTACCTCGTGGACTGTTACTTTACTCAAAGCTGAACTCTGGAATATTAAATAATGTCTTAATGTATATTTTTAGAAAAGAAAATTTTGCAAAACTCAAAACCACTACGATAAAGTAACGCAACTGCAAACATTTTGTGAATGTGTTGCCATTGTGCTGTTTCTCTGGGTCTTAGCAACACTTATGGTAGCAGATCACAAACTTTGCTGCATATCCAGTCACTTGGGAGCTTAGAAAAGTTCGAATACCTAGACCACAGCCCTTGTTATTTAAATCAGTGTCTCTGGAGTGGAACCTGGGTCTGGAGAATTTTTTAAACCTCCCCAGGACAGCCACATTTGGTAACCACTAACTTAGTGGAGGAGTTGAGAATGTTCAGCTGAAGCACTGAGGCTGCCTTTGCATGATTCCCTTTGGCCCCGGGGTGACTGCTCTGATCAATAAAACTATCGACACTCGCAAGCACTGGGGTGCTCACAGAGAAGAAATTAAAGGCCATGAAAACTGCAAGATGGGAAATGGTTAAGAGGCTTACAGTGGAATCTGGGCTTGAAAGGGAGATAAGAGAAGTGGATGAATGTGAAATCCAGGTAGGAGGTGGACAGGACTGACGGTGCGGTCAGTTGGGGTAGAGGGAAGTCATGAGGCCACGGGACGGCTCAAAGGTGACCTAGTTCCTGGGAAACAAGGTGGCAGAATGTCAGTCAGCTACGTACTTTGCAGAGCCCAGTGCAAAATGAAAATGTAGAGCCCCTTGTTCAAAACCCATTAAGAATTTTAGGATGGTCACAACAAAACATCAGATTCAGCATGGAGCCCTTCTAAGCATAGGGCCCAATACAATTGGTCCTCTTTTCCACCCACACCATCTTCCGCTTGTTCCTCCTCCTTCTTCCTTCCATCTGCCTCTCCCTCACCCCTGTATGCTGGTGTCTCTCCCTTTCTCTCTAAGCTTCTCTGTCTTTCTTTCTTCCTCTCCTTTGCCCATCCTCACCTCTAATCACAGTTACCCACTTAACCTAACTGCCCACACTACAAAACTGAGGTTTAACTTTCATGTTTGGATTCCTGAGTAGGGCTGCTTTTCCTGGGGCCGCTGAGTCTGAAGGATTTCTTTGCCCACACTTGAGTTTCAGTCATCAAGAAGACTTTGATTATAGGAGCAAGACATACCCCTTGTAGCTCTGTTCAGCAGTCTAAGCCTTAATGACTTAAGCCCTGACAGCCCTCGGGGATAGCTAAATGCTCAGTTACCCACATGCTGTTCCAAATTAGCTTCAGAAACCGAAAGCCCCACTTCCCTCTCCATAAAAAAGTCAGAAATATCTCTCTGGACCAAACTGTTGTTCAATCACTAATAAAGACAGGAAAAAAGAAATGCTTCGGACTCATTTTAAGTTACTTAATTTCACTGGGCTGGAGAAAAGTTAACAGGCCACAGACAGGCTATTCCACAAAAATCTCTTTGATACCTGTAATGTGCTGGAAACCGTCCTTGGCAGTGATTATCTAAAAGTGCATGAAACAGGCAAAGCCTTGCCTTCAGAAGCTTACGATCTAGTGCAAACATGCAAAGTAATGAGATTGTTTCAGGCACATTAACAGTATAAAGAAAAAATGTAAGATAATGGGATAAAGAGAGCTTGGAGTTGCAGGGGCTAATTATAGCTAATTATACTAGATGCTAGGGTCAGGAAAGATGTCTTTGAAGAGATAATGTTTGAACTAAAACTGGATGGAGTGGAGGAAAGGCCATGGTAAGATCTGGGAAGCACATTTCAGGAAGAACAGCAGACAGGCCTTGAGATGGTGTCTGTGAGCACTGGGTGTTCAGAAAACTGTTAACAGAAGGAGAGTGTGGCTGGGACACAGAGTGGGAGGAGCAGAGGACTAAAGGTGGGTGGACAGAGAGAGGCAGGGGCCTGATCCCATGGGCAGGGATCATGAGTTTGAATTTAATCCTAAGTATACTGAAAATTTTAATGAGGAACTGACATATATGATTTCCACTTTTAAAAGATGTCGAGTCTGGCCACCATGCA